CTTTGATCACTCGATATAATAAATTAAAAAGTGTAATAGTTTATTTATAATTTTCCATTGCTGTATTAAAACTTCATACAACATAATCAATCCCAATCATCCTGTTAATGTTCCGATTGCTGGGACACAATTCTTTCTGTCGAAAGAAAACATTTGGACGTTTGCATTAATATTTGTAATTACAACAATAACATTATATTTTCCCGCTCCCATCGCATAACAGCAAATGTTAAACGGCAACACAAAACGCATTCGTCGTGTAATTTCTCTAGCGGCCACGGCAATTAGACTGAAGCGTACCGTTAATGTTCTGCTTTATTTACGTTTACATTAGATGGCTTATTACAGACAAGCAAAAAGCTGTGGCCACACTGTGCCTCGCTTTTTTGCGTCAAGAGTGTGCGTCGCGTAGTCTTAGCACATTTCCTAAATAAGTTACCTGCGTAAGAAGCTTCCCGTGTCAAATATTCAACTTTGCTCAAAACTTGTCATATCTTTAGGTCTCATAAAATTTAGAGTTCAGTGGTTCTGAGTCTGTCAGTCACATTTTTTCTATTTTTGTAACCATAAGGGCAAAAATACTTCTTATATTATTTCCACATAAATTTTAAGACTAGGAACAGTTCAAACTTAAAGGCTACTCAAAGTCTTATTGTATTGTCTACGTATATGAAATAATTTTTGTCAGTCATATTCAATACCTGACGCAAAACATGACAAAATATAGGAAAGTGCACAACAAATACCGCATTGTGAATAAAACATTGTATGCAGTTAGTTATTTTTATAACTGTTAATGTTTATTTGCCGTCTCTGCATTTGATTTTTAATACTTCCTTATGATTTTACTTTAGTAACTTTAAGTAGAAGTAAAGAGTACCCCGTCTAGTTAACTAGCTTTCTTCGAGGAAATGTCAAATAGCTACGAAATTAACTCAAAATATTGATTCAACTAAACGATCGAAATGTAGCTATTATGGATTGAGTTTAGTTATTAGGGAATTTTAATCATTATTATTACAGATTTTTAAAAAGTAGCGTCATTCAGTGAAACTAACAGGCATATAAGAAAGCTTTATTGCGGAAGTGAGCCGCAGGTAAATCGTACGTTATTTTGAACAATAATACATTTTAGGTAATTTTTATTAACATGAGATAGTCGTTATTTTTTGTTAGAATGTTGTAATATACGGTTAATGACAAATTGTCTGCACTATGAATGGGTGGCTTTAATAAATCATGATTTATTTATTCAGCTGCCTGCGACTTTTGTTGGGCAGATATGTTTCGGTATTTTGTAACATACGCGCACTACCCATTAAATGAAACAACTTTAAATGATTTCAGCGCGTTTATATTTGTTCATTTGATTTTGTTTCATTATGTACTTTAGTGCGTCGCCTTGTGTTGTTACGTTAGTAGAACTATGCTCAATCTTATGGAATTAAAATTTCAAAAAGCATTTATAAAAGCTAGCGCAGGGACATGGGGAAATTAGTGGAATGCTAGAAGATTGGCATATAGAGAACAAGTAACAATTACGCCGACTTAAAGTGGGAGAATCCCTAAATATCTCATTGCACCAGGTAAAGAGATAGATTCAATGTTATAATAATCTTTATTCAAATAAACTCATTAAAAGTACTCTTGAATCGTCAAACACTTTTTTACCTGCCGCCCTGTTAGGACGTCTTTTGGTTGGTAAGTATGTAGAACGAGCGAAAGATAGGTGCAGTCATTTGCATGTATAGCAATTAATGTTGTTTATAATTAATGTTGTATTCTTGATTTTGGGTGTAGGCACGCGCTCTCATAAATAAATCTTATATAATAATCTTATGCTGTACGGTGTCTTTCGTCATACAATTTTTCGTACTTACTTTAGTTTTTTTAAAGTTTCACTCTCTCTTCAGTTTGTCATATATTTTTTAGATATTTAATTCTCTGCCACGGTCTAAATTAATTGGCATTACATTTTAAAATCAATCATATTCGTGATTAATTTTAAAATATAATATAAGTGCAGTATCATAAACAGTTTTGGCTGTGCAATTCAAAGCTTAGTAAGCTTTGGAATTTTAGAGGCTCTAACGTAGTGTTCTGTATAAGGAGGTACGTACAATACGTTATGATAACTCTTCGTTATCAGTAAACAGCTAATGTTGAATAAAATCAAAAGTTAATGCACTCGAATACGTTCACCTATCGCATGATCGTATTGATACAGACTGAACAACAATCTGCCGGATTCCTATCTGTCGTGATGTGTCTTCAATTATGATGCTAATGATTCTATAAACGTGGACTTCGAAAGTCTTAGATTATCAGTACGAAATGTAATTAGAAAACAACAGCAAAAATAGTAAGGTGCAAGTGATCGGTCGAAATGTAATAATAGAATTAATGTTGTAATTTTTTACTGTAATCAATAGCTTTTTTCATTGTCTCTGTATTATTTTGTGATCTTTCTCCAATGTAGAGGATGTTACACTATAAGTATATAGTAATATTGTAGGAGTACCACCGGATCACTCTATGGCTTATTTTTGCCTATTATTCTTACACAGTTATGTTGCAGCATTTCGTTCCGAATCATAATTGATAATATCCTCAATTGATAGATTACAAATTAATAAATTTGTTAATAGTGTCCATGAAACCATATAAATAACAGTCTATCGCTATACGCTTGATAGCCTTAATAAAAAATAAAGTCACGATCCTCAGCAGTGAGAGAATGATTTTAGAGAGAGATCGATACATCTTTTTTTTATTAATTTCCTTGTTGACATTACATTTCCCTTATTGTACAGTGATAACTGGCCATATAGCTCACTCGATATAGTAACGAGATAAATCTTGCGTTAAAATTGTAGCGTTTATTCCCGTTTCATAGAATGAGAAAGATAATCATCGAATTCACGTCAAATATGAAGGCTACGTAAAATTCCACATTCTTAACGTTACATATGATGAACGCTGTGTCGACTTTATATATGCTAGTTAATAAAATTATTTGATTTATATTGTTTTAAGATTTTATGGCCATTTACATTAGAATAATAGTTTTTCGCGGGGCTGCTACCATATACCTTGTTCTTATTCAGTTCCCGATATTTCGGCACTGTTGCAAGCGCCATGATCGGGAACTCAACAAAAACAAAGTACATGGTAGCAATCTTGGGAAAAACTATCATTCTAATGTGTTAGATTTAGTTACATTTGTCCCTGGATTCGGATTTAATTATTCCTATATTGAACTCGTCAATACAAACGCACTTGCAGATATTGATGAGTCGGTTTCGCCCGCGTTCGTCCGTAACATTGTCTTTCATTAAGCACGTCAACGATGTAAATCTTAATAAAGCAGTCAACATACTCGATTAAAGTTTTTTACACGAAAGAAGTCAATCTGATCACAATGTTTTCACTTTTATTACAAAGGAATAAGAGTTATGCCGCGGGACATCTTTCGTGAGACAGACTTTACATGCAACTCGATGTAAGTAGTTAATATTACCGATAGTCACACTTTTATGCTTATAATATTGCTTAAATTGAAATGAAACAACCAATATTTTATGCTCATTGTTGTCACTTGCACGCAAACAGCGCGTGACGTCACAACCTTCTTACTCATATCAGAACTAGAGGGTATTTAACCTTATTCGTTTCAGAGTGCCGCGATGTCATAGCGATTGCAAACCATGCCGGAAAAACTAGCTGTTAAACAACCGAGGCTGGTCAATCGCTCTACGCCACTGCTACTCCACGACAACGCTAGACCAAACACTGCACAACAGACGGCTACCAAATTAGAAGAGCTTCAATTGGAATGTCTATGACATCCGCCGTACTCCCCGGACATTGCTCCAACAGATTACCATTTTTTTCGAAATTTCGATAACTTCTTGCTAGGGAAAAATTCAACTCCGATTCGGCAGTGCAAATCGCCTTCAAAGATTTAACTGATTCGATCCGAATGGTTTTTTTAGTAAAGGGATCAATGAACTACCTATGAGATGGCAAAAGTGCATAGATAACAATGGTTTATACTTTGATTAAATAAATATATCATATTAAAAATATTCAACTTTTTGTTCCTCCCACACCAAACACCAATTTCATATTATGTTAATTATTTAAGATAAAATATTATCACCATGTAAATATGAAATTACATTTCTTTGTAAATATGAGTTCTATTAACTATAGGTATGTAAATAAATACAAGATTTTGCCAATGGTTTACGTAAAACAACCTTGGTATTTCCCTACAGGGTAAGGGTGCTGTCCAGTGTGACATGCTACCAAATCTGTTGTATTCTCGAGCGATTTTTCGAAGTTAAATGTAGCTCCTATGTTTTAAACATGCAAATTTCCATAGAGAATAAAGATAGCAGAATACTTTTGTAGAGAAAGGCAAATTATTTAATTCGTTTGGTATATGAATGATTAAAATGAAAGGTAGTTTGATACCACTTATGCTAGTACCCACTATAATAACATTAGTTTTGTAGCATTCAGTGTGTAGTTTACCTGTCAATAGTAAATGCCTAGAACTGTTTTCACATGACAAACCTGTCTTGCTCGACCGCATCCTATAAGGATGGTCAAGTACTGGTTATCACCGAGATGTTTCTATCTTTACCCACACGTCAAGCACAAATGGAAAATGGGTTCATTCTTTTTTAACACCACAGAAAAATACGTATTCTGGTATTATCCGTTCATCATAAATGTAAACTTTTTATTTAAATATTAGAAATATTAGCTGGCGACTTCGCCTGCGTAAATTATAGTCTGTGTCATCCGCGTATTCACAGCTTTCCTTAGCTCACTTGTTTGCAAGTGTAGTTTTCCTATAGGCCTAGTGGTAGGCATAGTATAAAGTTAGAGCAATATTTTCTTAGCACTTATTCAATTGCATGATTGTGTGGCTGACATATCGTTTCTAGTTGCTTACACAGAACACTTTTCAATTGCGAATTTGTAAGCAAATGGACAATAATAGTGTTTACATTGAGGCAATGTTGCATTCTATACCGTTCTTACACACACCATATGACATAAATGCCAATACGGTGAGCAATACGATGAGTTCGGGCGGCAGACTTGTTCAAGTAAGATATTTGAACATTATATTTCATTAAAATGTAGAAAGCTTTATTAAAATTTTGCACAAGAGTCCACAATTAAACTTGGAAGATATTTTATCGTAGTTCTTGATAAAAAAAATTGCATGCCTACCATTATGCATTTCATATTTTTATGATTCTTACAGCGTTGAATTTTTATGCCCGAGGTAGTTACCAAGGATTCGTATCTCAAAACATGGATGGGCCTATGGCCCAACAAACAGTTTCACGGTGTTAGGAGGTTAGGACTGTCCTCAATTCATCAGATAGGTATTATAAGAAAATATATTATTCCCTCAAAACCAAAATGAAAGGAATCTTATTAAGAGACAGTGAGTACCTAATAGTTTATTGTTTATTTTGGCTTTATGTATGAATTGTGAATAATTACCTATAGAATTATGTCATTAATATTACAGATTTTACGAGGCATATAGGCTATGCCATTATACCTGATTTATTACTAAAAACCTTTTTTTGTGCTGAAAAACTAAATATTACTTTCATACTTACTTATAAAGTTTTTTACTGAATTGTCAAGATAAATTTCGGAACTCACAATAATTAAATAAAATATTAGTAAACACTGAACAGTTTGGTGAAAACTTGTAAAACTTTTGGCGGGATGAGATTCGTTTGTATTATACGGATATTTAAGATTGCCATACGTTGATTATAGCCATCGTATAAATGAAAGGTTGTTTTTAAATATGTCGGTTAATACTGTGGATAAAAGAGTTCTTTATAGTGTCTTGATAAGTTGTAACGAAAAATAAAATTAATTAATATACTAAGTTTTTCGTTATATTATTATAATATTTTATTTTTAAACAATGTTTAGCCACTAAAATTTTATTTAAAAGAAATATATGTATTGTTTAATATTATATATTTCAAGTGACGGTAAAAACCGGAATTTGACATTATAAGAAATCCAATAACGCCATTCACTCCGATCGATCACGAAAATTGTCTTTGGAAACGAACATTCGTTGGTGTATACGAAAATGATAAAGAGTAGCGTTCCATGCGAAATTTCGTTTTAATTTCGTTCGTAAACGAAATTTCGTTTTCGAGAAAGCGAGTAGGCCTCCAGGAAGCCTACTCTAATTCACCGAAAAACGAAATTTCGTTCGAAACTTCGGACGTTTCCTACCACAATTACATTCGTTGCGAATATTCAACGAACGAAAATGTTTGACATATTTATTTTCTAAACCTACTCTATTTCACGAAATGACAAAACGAACATTTGACTTTGACATCTAATTGTTCGGAATTCTTACCTCAAATTGACGAAGTAAAAAATGTTACCTTTTCATTTTCGTTAGCAATTTTTTATTTTCGAAATGGGGTCTATATTACTATTAATCGAGTCAGCACTCAGTAAAGAACGATTAGACCGTAGAAGAAATCGGCAGCGGCTTCGAAATAGCCTTAATATAAGAAATATTCTCGATACTGAGTTTGTAAGTATTTACAGACTCAATTGTGAATTATTTCAAGAACTATGCCAAGAGATTATACCTTTACTGCATCCACAGGCAAGATCTCATGCCATCGAGTCCACAATTAAACTTGGAAGATATTTTATCGTAGTTCTTGATAAAAAAAATTGCATGCCTACCATTATGCATTTCATATTTTTATGATTCTTACAGCGTTGAATTTTTATGCCCGAGGTAGTTACCAAGGATTCGTATCTCAAAACATGGATGGGCCTATGGCCCAACTAACAGTTTCACGGTGTTAGGAGGTTAGGACTGTACTCAATTCACCAGATAGGTATTATAAGAAAATATATTATTCCCTCAAAACCAAAATGAAAGGAATCTTATTAAGAGACAGTGAGTACCTAATAGTTTATTGTTTATTTTGGCTTTATGTATGAATTGTGAATAATTACCTATAGAATTATGTCATTAATATTACAGATTTTACGAGGCATATAGGCTATGCCATTATACGTGAAAAATATGACTGATAAAAAGTAAATTTATTACTAAAAACCTTTTTTTGTGCCGAAAAACTAAATATTATTTTCATACTTACTTATAAAGTTTTTTACTGAATTGTCAAGATAAATTTCGGAACTCACAATAATTAAATAAAATATTAGTAAACACTGAACAGTTTGGTGAAAACTTGTAAAACTTTTGGCGGGATGAGAATCGTTTGTATTATACGGATATTTAAGATTGCCATACGTTGATTATAGCCATCGTATAAATGAAAGGTTGTTTTTAAATATGTCGGTTAATACTGTGGATAAAAGAGTTCTTTATAGTGTCTTGATAAGTTGTAACGAAAAATAAAATTCATTAATATACTAAGTTTTTCGTTATATTATTATAATATTTTATGTTTAAACAATGTTTAGCCACTAAAATTTTATTTAAAAGAAATATATGTATTGTTTAATATTATATATTTCAAGTTACGGTAAAAACCGGAATTTGACATTATAAGAAATCCAATAACGCCATTCACTCCAATCGATCACGAAAATTGTCTTTGGAAACGAACATTCGTTGGTGTATACGAAAATGATAAAGAGTAGCGTTCCATGCGAATTTCGTTTTAATTTCGTTCGTAAACGAAATTTCGTTTTCGAGAAAGCGAGTAGGCCTCCAGATTTTTCGATAGTTAATAATGAAACGGAGGTAGGACCCCGACACTGCTTCTGATGCACAGATATTGCCACATATGATTTTAAAAATTTGAAAGAACGATTCGAAAATTTTGTAATTTTCTTTCGTAGACAAACAGAGTAGCCCCTCAGGAGCTCGATACCGCAGTGCGTTCTGTTTGCAATACGGTCGCAAGGGACGGTCATAGGATGGGTGACCAAAAAAATATTATCTCGAGTTCCCCCGTGTTTCGGAAGGCACGTTAATCCGCTGGTCCCACGGTCGTCAATACCAACCAACCAACAAATTATATGGTGTTTTATGGCCAATTCTCCCTCATCATCAGCCTTCTTTATGGATAAGGATAAGGAGGATGGCCCATGACCCTCCACACTGACCCAATGCGGAGGACTTCAAATGCAGCCGGAACCAACGGCTTAACGCGGCTTCCGAAGCACGAAGTAGCTCAAGATAATAATTTTTTGGTCACCCATCCCGTGACCGACCGTTACGAAAGTTGCTTAACAACAACGATCGCGGGTCGCGGCGCTTATCCTCTACGGCACCGAGCTACTTCAATTCTCCCTATTCATTTTGAATTTACGAACATCGATGAGCGGATGATGATTATTACAATAGAAAACCTTTTTATCAGTTACAGTTAATCTATCTCGCTCTGTGTTCGATGTCGCAAGGGGCGTACGTGAGTCGTATGGCCACAGTGAACAGAGTGAGAGCGCCCACCGCGTTCAGACCTGGCGTCACCTTGCACAGACCTTGGATGCACCAGCGACTAGTCCCGGCGGCATCACATAGAGTACCATACGTGGTATACAGAAACGCACCACAGAGGTTAGTTACTTTTTATTATGACGGCGTGCTATACGCTTCGTTGGCATAAGAAGACCTTTTTTACCTTTAGATGAACCGTTCTTTTACCGTACTTTTTTTTTACCTTTATACTGTTGAATTTTCAAAGATACAATCTTAGACAAGTTCGATCGTGTGGGTTTGGTTACTTAAAAATAATATTTTTGTAGTGCGAAGCTGTCGAAAGACATTAACACAAATCCATATTATTTCCCATGTCCTTGTGTTGTGTACTTATTTCCCCACTTATATGGTTTTCTCTTATATCTTCCCGGTGTTCTATGATAGAACTCGTAATTTCTGTAAGTAAACCTATGGGTTTTCGAAAATTATCATTATCACTATCATTAGCTGCATTATCACTAGGTATACTATCAGTAGCTCGAATGGCAGGAGTCTTGATAGTGAAACGCCCGAGTTTTTTTTTTTCGCAACAAGACACAGTGAAAAACGGTATTATTGGTTACAATACATTTTGCAGATATACTGTAAAGCATTATGGACCAGCCACCACACGTAACATATTCGCTGCACCTTGGAAGAGTACAGCACGACTGCCATCCCTGTCCCCCGCACAGAGCTACGAGTTCGTCCGTTCAGCATCAGCACCAGCTTCGGTACACAGCGATGGTGGTACAGGTTCAATAGCTGAGTGCACTCGCACTGATCTTCATTCTTATATCTTTCGATAAATCAGTTCTTCTTATGCAGTATATTTTTAAGTTTTAGAAATAAAATCCTTCATCAAATAAAACCCTTCAAGCTCCATCTATAGCTATCTACATATTCGTCCTAGCCACTATGAGTTCGTTGACTTGCACTATTCACATTCCATCGTAAAAATTAAGCACAACTGGATTCTATATCATTTCGTGCACAAAATAGCATATAACTTACACGTCCTTCCACAGAAAGCAAATATGGTGTTACAAAAATAGGTTTCACTGTATATCATATTATTACGTGAATAAACAACTACTTAACAGTGATTGTTATATACTACTTATTTAGGTCCTGTCACATAATGGGTTTCCAAAAAATTACTATCGAGAGCTACTCCTTGCTTCGGAAGGAACGTTAAGCCTTTGGTCCCGGCTACATTTACGGCTATTAATACCCTCTAATCCGCATTAGTCTAGCGTGGGGGGCTACTGCCCATGCTCTTTAACAATCCATAAGAAAGGCCCGAGTCCCTGCAGTGGGAATATAAAAAAGGTCGATGATAACGAGTAACGCCATTGCTTTCTGTGGTAGGACAATTGTCGGTTTAGCGTATTGTGACCAACAGGTGCCATACACACGATACCAGCGCCGAACCTGAGCCTCTCAGAGAAACCGATCGTGGTCATCGACTCTGATAATTATCACAAACCGACAACAGAAGCTGTAAGTCTTTCTTATATCTAGTAAAATTTATTTAACAAAAGGAATTTAGCCATGCAAATTTATACAACCTAATAGAAACACCATGTAAGCTGGGGTTTAAAAAGACTCATGCCACTGTTCATAGCCATTAAAAATACGCTACTTAAAAGTTCCATGTTTACGTATTGTTTAGTTTCGTTTTCAGGCCAAACCCACGTATGAAGTGACTGAGAAATACCTAGAACAACCAATGTACGATATGTCACCCAAAATAGAAATACCGGTTGGATTTTCTAAACCCACAGTGAGTAGTTGTAACGCTTCTGAAAATCACAAACCTAGTTAACTTATACATATCGTAATCATATCTACATCATTACATACATGACTAATAATATTATAATATTTTACAGTCGTTGTCTCCATCTGATATACAGACATTGGTGAAGAATGGACCAGCTTTGCAGTTTGCACATGAGTATGGTCTATCGGTTGCATTGCCGTCTCCTATTGCCCCCCAACAATTTTCCCTCCAAGTAATAACATAATTATTTTATATGAAGATTACAATTTTTAATCAATTTGCAACTTTAAAATGACTTGTATTACAATTACAGGGATTTCATAACTTACCAGCTCATCAAGAAATAATGAATCCTAGTTTAGACGGATTAATGATTTCACCCAGTTCATTATATCAAGCGGACCCTGCGTTTATGCAAAAACTACAGACACAGCTGATACAAAGATTCCCCTCACTTGGATTCATTCCCTACGCTCCAGACGCTCCAACGATATCGTTGCAATCTCACACAGAACCGCAGATCCAACATCCGGTACAAAACCCATATTTTTTGTTGGAAAACGAAGAAATAACTAAACGGACACCTGCGTTATTCGAGCCGCCCAAAAACGTTGTACAACGAGAAACACATGAAAGTTCTGTAATGTCATTGATCCCACATTCGTTTACTATTAACAACGTTACGGAAAATCAAATCGAAGTGACGTCTGCTTCCGAACCACAAAATGTGACCGTGGAAGTGATCGCAGCAGATTCACAACCTAGTACAACAACAGTCAAATATATAGTAGAAAGCACCACCCGGCAGGAGCCCCAGCAAAACGTAACGCCCATATATTATGCACAAATAGGACAAAGCATCGGTAATGCAGTAGCGAACAGCTTCTATTCGGCCATCAATGACGTGAGAGCAGCCGCAGCTTTGGCACAAGTAGATAAACCCCAAGAGCAAGATAACGTCACCTCTACAACTCTAAATCCTGAATATAAAACTTTCATTATAAAGCAACCAGATAATTCTAATAACCAATCTATAGAATTGAAGCCGACTATGCTTGGTCTGCCATTTTCTAAAGCTTCCGATTCCGTTAATATTGCATACACATTATTAAGATCCAACAACAAAGAACCGAAGTTGTCGAAAGAGGGCGCCGTATATGGCGGTCAAATAGTCGAGGCGACCATAAGTGAAGATAAAGAATACAACAAAGAAAAGGCTACACTTCTGACGAGGAGAGCGCCACTGAGAATTATATCAGTCACCGAAAAGAAAGAAGGACCGTCTATATCCACTGTCCCACCAAAAATAACGGTGGTGAAAGCGAAGATTCCTCCAAAAAGCAAGCTAACCTTTGATGACAAAACCGGTGAACCTGTTTTAAGAATATACGCGAGTTATGTGGACACTCCATCACAGGTAAATTCCGACAATCAACTCTCAACAAAACTCTACTATTGTTCTACATGATAGAATAAATACTTTATTTTTTCCTTTCAGAAAGAAATTGTGACCTCCAAATTGAACCATGTTAACAACCAGAATAAGGTGAAAGAGATTGTGGTGAAAAAGCCTGATACCATTGAAAACTGGACATCGGCAATGGTCAAGAAGTTTGACAAAACGCAAGGGCACGACGCGAATCAAGTCACAGACTTCGGTTTGAAACTTAGATCGAGGAGTGACGATTACATACCTATTTTCGAAGAATATGAAGAATAAGTACTTTTCTCATAAAAATCTTGTATTTTACTTAAATCTGAACTGTTAAAAGTTCTTTTTCTTCTATCAAATTCATTTATGGATAGAGTTCAAAGTATGTAAGGAAGGCTATGGTCACTGAATTGTTTATAAAAAATAACCTTCTAAGTTATCGTTGTATATTTTCCACTAATTGTTAAATATTTATTGTTATTTTGTTTTGTAAATACTAAATTACCTGTAGTTAGAATTAGTTTAGACTAAGAAATATAGTGCATTTAGTTTTATTGATATTATAAAAATGCCAAATCTTTTGATATAAAAAAATTAAACAAATCGTTTTATCAAGTTTTTCTCAATTTATTTCGTAATTGTTACAAACTGCATATGAATTGTATACAAAGTGTAAAAACGACTACAATATTTTTCATAAACGTTCTTGATATTGCATTGTTATCGGACGTCTCATGGTTACTTAGGAACGAACCACGTTAGCAGTTTCCGTCATTATAATTCCATCGCTCTGTCCTCTTTCAACGTGTTAGCTTTCGACGCTGCAAGCTTTGGTATAAGCGACAGTATATACAATTAATGAACCAATTGATTTTAAACCTTGTAACGTTAAACGTTAGTATCAAAATCGATTGAGAAATTTTAATATCAATAGACGACGCTTAAACGAAACAGAAAGGGATAGAGCGAAAGAATTATATTGATATACCTATTTATAGTTAGATCCTTAAGACACTGAAAATTTCCAACTAATATAACACAGTGTAATAGTGTTTATTAGCAAACTATAACGGTAACAAAAACAAACTTCTATCCAAGTCGTTTTACAACATGAGATGACATACTTTTTGAATGTATTCATTTAATAGACATGTGTTATCATAACCTTAACCGCTGGAAAACGATAAGTTGCTTATTTACCCAGAAGAAACGAAAATATGCTTTAGCAATTTAAATGAGTCCTTAAATATCAACCTAATTCCGTTTAGATTAAACTGAAAATAGTAAGATTACATCTTCTGGTTTAACAAAACGTTATAAAGTAGGTATATTCGATGATTTTTATATGAATCTCATCCATAAATTCCTTTAGCATTTTACAGTTTCATCTGAGTTGACAATTATGGTCCACATTTATAATCTCTTACACAGTAAAAGGACCAGCACACGAAGCATGACAAACTCGAGAAAAGCTTTGTCTACGCCAGGGCTTGGAAACCGGTTAATTTTTTGAACCGGTTCGACGTAAGTATATGCGAAACTTTTCATAAAAAGTTCAGCTCCTTTGAACAGGTTTTTAAACCGGTTCACTAGAAATACGGTTTTCTTCATTAACCGGTTTAAATACGACTCCAAACAATGATCTCACAAACTTCAGGTTTTTAAGTGCCTTGACTCCTATCTATAACATCCGTACACAGGTATGATAAATGTCGTCGCTTAAAAATGATATAATTCGCATTAAAAGCGTTAGAACGTTGCTTTTTACAAACCAAGCAAATTAACCGGTTTTTATTCCATCCGAATTTCACTCCGCATTTAGTTCCGACTCGGAACGGAACATTATAAGAGAACAGGTTTTACCTAAATAAAAACGGTTTATTCTGAACCGGTTTCAAGCCTTGGTCTACGCTCATTTGTCAGTTCTTCAGGTCGAGAGTAAGATATAGTATGGGCTCATCCGAGAAAGGTGACATTTGAGTGTAGACAAAACGTTCTCGAATTCGTCATGCTACGAGTGCTGCAACGCATTCTTTAAATTATTTGAATTTAAAAAGCTCGTTACAGTAAAACACACCCATTATGCTTCACCGATGTACCTGTGCAGAAGGGTAAGTTTTTAAGCAAACATCGACCGATCAGATTCATTGAAGGTTAACGGGAAGGTTATTTAATTCATTATATTTTAAACCTCATATTCATTAAAATAAGGTTGAGTATAAATTGTAATGTTACGTTCCTTCATTATCGGAATGATTCACTAGCTGCGCAAGATTCACTACGCAGTATGTAAAGTTCTAGTTCAAAGAAAAAAAATTATAAAATCTCTGCCTGTAATCCGCTTTAATACTAGCAGACAAACATAATACTAGTTAAAGTTTGAGAGCACTAATCACATTATAAGCGGATCTTCTCTGTAAAAGCTTTAAGCCATGAATAGGTGTTCTTGTGTTAGTTCACTTTTCATATATATAAATAAAAATAAAAAAAATTAAAAGAGTTTTATACAATCTTCTAGACGCAATCTGTACAATACGAGTTTGTTTATGAAAATATAATAAACATTAATTGCATTGATGAATTTTAATATATATTTTTACATTTACCGTTTATGGAGATCGCATATCCCAAGGAGATGACGAAATCATTTTTTTTTTTAACATCTTGCAAACGAAGTACAGGTGACATTAGAATTTTGATAATTCAGTGTGAGACGGTTGATGTTTTTATACAAAGAATTCTAAAATTACTTTAGTTCGCCATTTTCAGCGCTATCTAATAAATAGCAATCAGCTACTGAATTTTGTGAACGTTTAAAACTTGAATAAATCGGGACCCAGACCAGGAATTGCTAGGGTAAACAGGCAGAGCTAAAAATAATATGAAATTGCACCTTAAATAGTATTTTAAGTAACATCTGAATGACAATTAGTAATATTACTGAACATGTCACTGTTTAGTCAGATTTGATTGTAACCATCTAATTCCATCTCGATACCAAGTTATGAAACTTTTTATTCAGTAAGTTTTGTTAAGTTAATAAATTATACAATTAAATTTTAATTTCATTGCCTTTTAAATATTGCCATACAATCATTGTACTCAAACTCATATGAAACATAACACTGTACCAATTTTAGATATCGACTCCCAGCCGATTTATGTATATTTAAAACTACCAAACTCGAAAATGTCGGTCTTTGAATGACTTTTAAATATCATATAACGCAATATATTTTACCTGTTATAATGAGGTTTGCGGAATCGGGTAAAATCATTCACTCCAATATTAAATGTTAAGTGGCCATTCCACGGTACAGGTAATGTGACATCGCCGGTGGTCCACTAGATGGCGGCGTTGAATTTGTCGAACTTCTCCAACTGGTCCATGAACCAGGGCCGGCCGGTCGCGCGCTTCGTCAGTATGTCGCAGCCGGTCTCCGTCACCAGTAACGTTTGTTCAAACTGGAACATTATCATCATCATCAGCCCTTATGGAGGTATTAGCGACTGCAAATGCGGATTGGAGGGTATTAGCGACTGCAAATGCAGCCGGGACCAACGGCTTAACGTGCCTTCCGAAGCACGAAGAATCACTAGCTCGAGATAATAATTTTTCGGTCACCCATCCCGTGACCGACCCTTGCGAAGGTTGCTTAACTACAACGATCGCGGGCCGTGGCGCTTATCTACTACGCCACCGAGCTACTCACGTTATATTATAAATTAAGGCTTATAATGTACGAAAATGAAGATTTATAATGTATTCTCTATTAAATTAATTTTACCTTTCATATGAATATACACTACACTGAGATCAATGTTGATTATGTATAAAAGTATATTTTGTACGAAAAATATAGTCTAAAGATTTATCGGTTGTGATCCCTTTTTCTTCCTTCTTTTATTATTATTATATTATGTGTGGTCGGATCATTGGCCTATGCAGCTCTACATACCTGTGCGGAGCGTGAGCCGTCGCTAGTGACGGCGGTCCAGTGGTCGGGCCACTGGTCGTCCCGCCATCCTCCCTCATTGATCATGGGCTCGATGGTGAAGCAGTGCCCCGGCTTCATCACACCCACAGCCTTGTTCTCTGATGACACAACATCAGACAATTGGTTATACTCATATTACCAACCCTATTATCATAACTTTCAATATAGAGGTCTATGAAACAGAAAAAACAGTGATTCAGTTTAATTAATACATAAATATAAAATATGATAATAATTAAAAACACTGTTTATTGGAAATCTTATGTAGACTCAGATAACGGCTTTCAAATAGTTTTTGAAAATGCTCCAAAATCAAATTCATCAATAAAATACTATTAAAAAGATGTATTTGAATTCTCTTTTTTTTTATTATATGTAATGATTATTTGTCTATATTATATTTAAATAAAAATATATATTTACTATATTTAAATTAAAATTTGCAACAATAACACATCAAACTTTTCATAACACATAATAATTTTTCTATAATATTGAAAACAAAAAAAAAATATATAGAATAGTTTGTTTTACGAAAGTAACAATTAATTTTTATAGGATTTATTAACTTACTTGCATAATGCGGCACATTTGGTGCTGTATGAAACAATCTGTGTATACCATGACCACAATAGGATCGCACCACACTGAATCCATTAGCTTGAGCATGCTTTTGTATTATATTTCCTACTTCTCTGTATTTCTCACCCGGTTTGACAATTGCTATGGCTTTTGATAAACACTCGTAAGTGACTTGTACAAGTTTACGTGTGTTTTCTGCAATATTTCCTACAAAGAATGTTTCATTGAGGTCACCATGGAAGCCACGATGATAAACAGTCACATCGACATTACAAATATCACCATCCTGTAAAGAAAGCATGTTCATATTTACAATATAAATTTGTGAAGTCCACATTTAGTAACCCAAGTGTCCAAGAATAGCAATAAGATATGTTGTTTTAAGCTTTCGTTGTCATTTACATTAGAATTATAGTTTATTGTGGGATTGCTGCCATGTACCTTGTAGCAATCCCACTATGATAAACTATAATTATAAAGCAATAAGACGAGTGTTAATTCCAATCTCACCTCATTTAAGTGATTTAAAAATCAATAAACCTGTTTATTTAATAAAAAATATATTCAGAATTCAGAACCTACTCTGTTTTTTATGTCAGTTATTAAACATCTATTTTAATAAGACAACTTGACAAAAATACACTTTCATGATAGTTAATTTTAAATATATTTTGTCATATCCTATGATTACAATATTATTATGCAATAAAAAGTTTGAAGAGAAATAAAACAAAAATAATTATAAATGAATAATTACATACCTGTAATGGACGTGTATCTGGAATACCATGACATATAACTTCGTTCACAGAAGTACAACAACTATTTGGGAAGTTGTTGTAATTCAAAGGGCTCGGGTAACATTCACGGTCAATGCACGCTTCATGGACAACTCGGTCAATTTCATCAGTTGTCACTCCTACATCACAAACTCTGTAAAATAATATTATGGTATGGATAACTAAAGGGTCATGAAATCAAATATTTTTTGGTCAAAACCTTTATAAGTAAAGATCACCTTCCATCCCAAAGAAAGGATTCAATGTTGCAGTGATTGTGCCAGGTGACAACTAAATATAAATCTGAATAGGGAAAAACCTTCAAACAAAACCAAAACAAGGAAAATACTGAACTTCATTCTCTATGAGTTATTTGTAGTTACAAAAAATCCTAAAACTTAATATTTATTTTTTATTTCTAACAATAGTAATCATTCCTTTTTCCTTTTTAGTTCTTGTAAAATAGCTTGTAATTTGCACATAAGTTTATTTCCTAATTTATTGAATGCATGTTGTGGCAGCTTGTAATTAAAACAACACGCTTACTTGAGCCACTATCTCTAGTACTTACTGTTAACCTTGTGTATAATTTGTAAGTTGTCCTAATTAAATAAATAAAAAAATAAATTCCCAATAATCAACAACAAATACCATTTCATATAAGGGAATTTCTAATATAATTAAAAATGGATAATATAGAAACAAATAATTTTCCAATAAGCATTGTGCTTGTATTTGAGTTAACTAAGTTTCATGGTGTGTTAAATAGTATTCTAATACTACAATCCAATCCACACAACACATATGGAATATTGTATAATATATTCAAATCTATAACTAGCACTTCAATGTATGAATAATATGTTGTTGTTAATAATGGGTTCATTGTCTTCAAGGTCATAATGCTGAAAAATGTGCTATATTTATTTACATATAATTTTTAAAGATACCCATCATTACCATACTTTTGACAATAAAATTAACTTCTCAAGTATTTAGATTAAATGCGTGTTTTGTTGTTAAAAATTCACAAGTATAATTTCACAGCAAATACATACTTGGCTGCTTCGTCCAAAACTTCGCGACCAAGGCGGCAAGCGACACGCATACCTTCTATTTCTTCATCATCGAGGACTTTGATCTGTCCGGAGCCTTTAGCTGCATTCTCTGATGCCGGGAAACCGGTTGGATGGTCGGCATAATCCGGGCGACCGATATGCCGTGGAACAGTTCGTTTAGGTCCAGGCGGAAAAGGTCTCAACTTCCCCGTAAAATTATACGATGGCCAGGGGTTATACTCCCCGTTGGAGCCATCGGTATTTTCACTCTCTAAAAAAATGAAAATTAATGGGTTTTGTAACCTAATACTTTGTCATAACCTTAAAGGTTGACACACTTACTCGCCAACGAATGGATAATTTTGTGAGTTTTCCACGATTTCTTGAAACAGTCTTGGTTGCAAAAAAAAGAACCCTGTATGCCGAGTTTTACACAAGTTGGACATTGTAATTGTGCGATAGATTTACAGCCGGGAGTTTCACACATTCCTATCGCAGCCATTTTTCTCAATTGTCAAAGTAGTGATGTATCAGTGTCAGTGTCAATAAACAGTGAATACGTTATATTGATATAACTTTATAACCTAAACAAGCCTGCTAATAACCATAATATTTTAATTAAGATTAATTACGCGATTGATCTTCTGTCAGATATACACATCCCACCTCGGATCTACGATTGTTTTTAACCGGCGCAGAAACTAGAAAGACTGTTAAGTTTGATACTTATATTTTATATTTGTTAAATAACATGAACTAGAGAACTCCGTTACCTATAATGTGTTGTATAAATAATTATTTATAAAAGTATTATCTTAGTTATTTCCAGTTTCTTACTATGTAATTGAATATAAACTATAGCACGTTAAGCTCACTGTATACATTCTTTTAGTTTTTCTTTAATATAATCTTATTTATAATCGTTCCTACTCTAAAAAAAGAAATAATAAATAGATAAATAAATTTATTTAAAATAAATAATAAATATAGTTAAACATTATTTAAACATTTACAAAGTAAATAGTACATGTTATATACCTACATATAGTGGCGTAGCTACCAAGGGGCTAGGCGGGGCAGTGCTCCGGGGCCCTCAAGTTCAGGGAGCCCTCGAATCTTTACCAGAAAATCTCAATCGAAATCAATTTTTGAAAATTTCTCCCATTTTCAAAATAAATATGACAGGTGACAACTCAAGTTGTGAGAAATTCCAAAGTTATAAAAAGGGAATTCCCCTAAATTATTTGTGTGGGTTGACAGTGTTATTGATATTTCATCAATTTGTTGGATATCAATATTTGCATATTATTATTTATCGATATGCGTTTTTGTGATTCGCGATTGTGAACTTCGAGTCAAGATTTTTTTTCGAGAATGGTTAAAAAGTTAATGTATCAGGAGTAAGTAAGCGTATGTCAATAAATTTTTTGTACTGGTCCATACAAAAGTTCAATTTTATTTGATTTTAGTATGTATTCATAGTTACGTAAAGAAAGCTATAGATTTCGGCTACTCACTATATAACTCAAAATACCGTGAAAAATATAAGTCACATGCGGTAGGAGGCCGTCCATTAATTACGTGATGTTTTTTATCATTTTTTTAAACCGTCAAATATGGTAACACTGGCGGCGATAAAATGTTTGCCGGAGATTCCCCAACGACGTCTTGTATCGTATCATTACGTTTCGCTTTCCTTTTACTTGTAACGTTGTCAGTGAACAGTGAGTACCTACTTGAGTACAATCTTACATAAATATTGCATAAATAAATTAGAAATCTAATATTATGGAAAAAAAAAAGTAACCTTGTGGTGCATTTAAACGCAAATAACGCCAAGGAAGAGAAGAAAGTAAACAAAAATTGCCCAAAATTAACAAGTTTTTTAGTCAGCCTTCTGCAAGTACTTCTGGACAAAATATTTCTATTGATAATTTTTGTAAATAGATTGCATGGCGATAGGTTAAATAACAGTTAGCTGGTGCAACGTATCTATGAATAAATAAATATATAATAAACCCTTGAATCTTTTCTATTTCGTTTTATTGCCAAGTATAAAAATAATTGTAATTTATGTTGTTAGTGTTTAATAAATATTTAATAATAATAAAGAAACAAATATTTTGACTGTTGCCTCTTAATACATCTATGAAAATATTATGTACGCAAGAAAACATTACGATTCCTTCACAAAAAAGTAGTGTTCATAATCTTAACACAAGAAATAAATATAAACTTGCCGTTCCAAGCTTCAGACTTCAGAAAACCAGAGGATCATTTCTGGGTAAATGCATTGCTATGTTCAATAAAGTTCCACAAAATGTAGTTGACCTACCCATAAATAAATTTAAAATTCATGTAAAGAACATACTTATGAGTAAAGGCTATTATAAAGTTGATGATTATTTTAAGGATCGCAATGCATGGAATCAATAGCCTTCGTTTTGTTCTATAAAGATTTTATTTATTTCAAAAAACCTTACCAGTTTTGATAACAGTGAACCCCATTTTTTTATTTGCTCCAGGGCCCCATGTTACCTAGCTACGCCACTGCCTACATAATACAATTAGTTCCAATTTGGAATAATAGATGACGCTTATCAATTATGGACCACGGTAACATTCATTTTCAAACGTCGATATAGGTATATAATTTTCTTAACAAAAGTGGTTTAACTTGAGTTTAGATTTTTTTTTTATAGTAGAATGTAGTGAAAATCGTCGTTGGATATTTTAATAGTTTATATTGTTTTTTAGCTTTTAAACAAAAATAATAAACATGGAATCTTTCATTGAACTTCAGTTTGATATTAAAACGAAATTAGAAAATGCTAGAATAAATTATAGAAAATTTTAGCGAACGAAATTTTGAATCAGTTCTTGATATAAAAAATTGGCAATTACAACCAATTGTTTGGAGTCTATTAAAAACTTAGGTACCTAACCTATAGATGTATCTCTTGTAAATAAAAACTTGTCGCGTAAAATGGCGACTATTAAATAAAGCAGACTTAGCAGATCCAGAATATTAACGACCTAGCAAAATTTACATTTTGTTAACAAATCTACTTAACAAGGTAGAAATTGAGTTGCACGGTTTTTGAGATGCATCCAAATTGGCTTAAGCAACAGTGGCATATTATAGAGTGATAGATGCTAAGGCTCGTATACAAGTGGCATTGCTTGATCGAAAACGAAAGTTTCACCCTTAAAACAGGTATCGATATCCAGACTGGTAGGGCGCTTGTGCACTACACTGAATTTTCATGTCCGGCGGTCCGATTTTTTCAGGTCCGATAAGTGCACTGTCAGGAATTTTACCGTCCGGAATTTTACTTTTCTCTATTCCGGACCGGTTTTTTCAGGTCCGTGATGGCGGCAATGAAAAACGTGTTTACGCTTGTGCACCGCTGTGTCCGAGATCCGGAAAATTCATAACGAATAGGCTTGGGAAAAAATAATCGATTTGAATCGATATTTATTTCGGCAATATTGTTAATTTCCAATAAACTTATAATCGATATTTATTGTTGATTATAAAATGCTATATTTTATATAATGATTTAATATAGTTGGTATATATCACTGCATATGCTTTGGTAAACTCGGTATAGTTCTAATTTGATCAGCGTATGGTTGTAGTATCGACACTTAGCTAGATTTTAGAATTGTATTAAAAGTATCGATAGCTTAAGGTAAGATAAATAAGTGTTGTTACGCTTAGACGCCTATACAACTGAACCCATCTAAATGTAAATTAATATAGTAAGTAGACTTAACTTTAAGAAAGGACATAGGCTACATTTTATCGCGAAAAATAGGGGATGAAAGTTTGCCTGGAAATTTGTTATTATCAAATATTTTTTAGACAATTGATAAGTATAGATAAATATTTGACAACAGAAGTAATAATAAAGAATAAACAGAAGATTAACAAAAGTAATAAAGTGACACTCAATGTCTTATTCGCATTTAATAAAATTTTTAATGTATGTTTGTGTCATTAATAAATTTTAAAAAAGAAGATTCTTAGGGAGTAATATTTCTGCTCAAAGAAACTACACCACGCGTATAAAATTATGCCTATATATAATACTGTCAACTGATCTCGTAAAGTTCATTTATCATAATAATTCTCCGCTAACACGGCACTAATTTCGATTTGTTTACTAAATGGCGCCACCGATTGGTCTATCTCTGTAAACGCTGAAAGTTGTTTTTACAAAACTTCGAAAAAAAAATAGCACGTTTAAAAATTTAAACATCAAGTACTAGACCATTATCAGAAATTTTATTCTAATGTCAGAGATATTTTTAGCTATTGTATGTGAATAATGCTGTTCCTAAATTAGTAAGGGTATAAGTTTTTACATCTGATAGTAGTCATCCGATAGTAGTAAAAAAAATGCTTTCGTCTTGCCATAATTTATTATGGTTTATGTAAAACGATCAGATCATTATTTAGGTACCTTTCTACGTCTTCGAACGGAATTACCGACATTCCAAAAATCTCATCGTACCTAGCGTAAGTGACGTGTAGCTTCAAAGAGAGCTGCACTACACTGCGCCGCTCCGATCAGGAAAAATACGGACAAGTGCACAAGCTACTCATCCGAGTTTTTCATGTCATTCCGGACCAGATAAAATCGGACGGCCGGACCTGAAAATTCAGTGTAGTGCACAAGCGCCCGAACTCTGTGAAGCTGTGCTTTTGGCAAAACTGTTGATAGAAGTCGCTGAATAGTCCGAAAGTTGCTCTTCATATCTGGACAGACGTTTGTAGCGAATAGGGTTTCGGATGTAATTATAAATCTAGATAACCAACGTTGCTCGTATATGGCATCTGAATGGTCATGTATATTTTTTATGTAAGTAGGTATTTTTATCAATTTTTACTTGAATTGTGAACTAATTTCTATCAAAGTAGTTGTCTACCCCTGACTTTGCGTAAATTATAGCCTTTGTTCCCCAAGTACTATGTAGCTTTCTCTAGGTAAAAGAACTTTATAATCAGTCCAATAGTTTCGGAGCCTATCCAGTACAAACAAACGAAGGATCAAATCTTTCCTTTTTATAATATGAGTATAGATTATAAGAAAAAAAATATGACGAGCAAATAAACAAAATCTCTTTTATATAAAAATATCAATATTACTAAAAAGGATAAAATAGTTTCTTTAAAAAAAAAAATTTGCCAACTTCAATCTATAAAAAAGGGATAAGAGACTTATCTCAAAAGCGTCTTATTCAAGAAACTGCTATTTCATATATCATTATTTAATAATCAACAGTAAACCTCCGTCACACTTCACTAGCAGTTTCTTGAATACCTTTAAAACCTTTGAAATAAGTATTATTTAAAATTCTATTCTTCAAAATGGCTCCCTGCTTCATTGTTCGCTATATTATAAGAAGAACTTAACACTGGCTAAATAATAATGAAAATAAAATAATTCGGTCGTATATTCGGTTCGATAAAAGTTAAACTGTTAATACTATTCGGTAATCAGTTA